GGCGAGAGAGACAAACGAAGGAGAAACGAGGACGAGGGAGGAGGGAACACTGAGGAGAGAGGAGCCGCCTCCTCCGAATGCGCCGCCTCCTGGCCTGTCTCGCGGCAATCTCCCGGGGGGGCGTCTTGAGGGTGTCCGAGAAGCTTTCCTGGAGTCTCGTGGGGGCGCCCCCTGGAGTCTCTTGGGGGCCTCTCTAGGGCCTTTTGGGGTCTCTGGCGGAACTTCGTGAGGGTGTCTTGGAGTTCCGAGGCCTGCTCGATGCATGTTGGGATCCCTTGGGGGCTCTCTCCAAGGTCTCTTGGGGGACTCTTCGGGGGCTCTCGGCGACTCTTGGGTGGCCTCCTGGTGTTTCTTGAAGGTCTCTGGGTGTGCTCTCGGAGGCCTGCTTGGAAACCCAAAGGGGGAGAAAGGAGAAGGTTGGGAAACGGAACGTAGAGGATGGAGATCAGCGGGAACGGACAGCGAGGAATGGGAGAGGCGGAAACGCATTGGGGGAGGGGTGGTCGAACTTGATCCAACAAAAAAAAAATGCGTGCGGATTTCCATTTGTTGTTGTAAAGTTGAGCCTCCGATCACTTCGTGAGGCAGGGAGTTGGGAGAGGAGGCGGAGGAAGGAGTGAAGGAGAGATGAAGTGGAGGGAGGAGGGGAAAGGACACAGCGGGGAAACGGAAGGAGAGAGAAATCAGGGAGGAGGGAGGGATGAAGAGAGAGGATGTCTCGTGGCAGTCTCCGAAACATTCCTGGAACGTGTTGCGGGCGTCTCGTGGGGTCTCGTGGGGCCTCTTGGGGGCCTCTTGGGGGTCTCGGGGGCTCTCGGGGGGCTCTTGGGTGCCTCTTAGGGGCGTCCTGGGGTCTCTTCGGCGCTCTTTGGGTTTCTGGGAGCCTGTGGGGAGCCTCTATGGGGTCTCGTGGGTGCCTCTTCGAGCATGTGCATGGTCTCTTGGCGCCCCTTGGGGCGTCTCTGGGAGGCATCTTGGGGCTATCTCGGAGATCATGCGCAAGCCTCGGAAGCGCATCAGAGGCGAAAATGCGAGAACGCAAAAATCATTGATTGTTTTTATGTTTTCAATGAGTTGGCCCTTTCCATGGGTTTCCTTGGAAGAGTCTTGGGCAGTTTGGGGCCTCTTGGAGGCCTCTTGGCACTATCTTGGAACTCGTAGGGGACTCGTGGCCGTCGGGAAAACGTACGGGGCCGTCTGAGAGCTCTCGGGGGGTGTCCCAGAGCCGTCCCGGGCCGTCCCGAGGCCCTCCTGGGGCTCACTGGAGGTCCTGGAGGGCGGTACCAGGAAGGTACCGAAGATGTTCCCGAGGTGGGCGGCGCAGTGGTGGCGGGGCGCATAATATTACATCATAACAGCATCCATTATATTATAAAAAGAATCGACTACATATCAATACGTTATATCATGTTATGATATACTATACTAGGCTACAGTCTAGTATATGGTGCTACATTGCATTAGAGTGTACTATGTTATGTTGTATTATATCGTGCTGGACTGTATTATGTTATAGTACATTATAGAATAATGTACTATATGCACTGGATTAAAATAGTTTACAATATGTTGAATACTACCATACAATGTAACAGTGTATTTTACTATACTATACTAAATGATCATATATCTAGCATGATGTTTTAGTATACTAAGTATGGTGTGTTAGATTATACTGCATTATGCTATAATGTAATATGAATGTTATGACATATTCGGATACCCTATGATACATTATATTATAGCGTGATACGTGGTATTACAATGTACTATAGCATGGTATAGTATAGTATTATATGATATAGTAGTGTAGTATATCTGATATCGGATTACAGTGTGGTGTGATATACCATCTGGCCGTATACTATACTATATTTTAATGCATCACATGTAATTACATTGTTTTATGTTATAGCACACTATGTTACACTACTATAACATACAATGTCATGCCACGTCATATCATGTTATAGAATACCATGTTATAGTATAACGTATTCGTTATACTGTATAAATACATACATGCATGCATGCATACATACAGACAGACAGACATACACACATATAGAGGCCAAGCAGTACTTGCACTTACGGGTTGCTACTTTTGTTCCAAGGAACTGGGCCGTGTCTTCGGTCTGGCGGCTATGCGGCCACCGTCGCCGCCCCGTCGCCGCTTCGTCACCGCCCGTCATCTGAGCCGCGTCTTCGGGAAAGCGGCGATGTGACCGCCGTCGCCGCCCCGTCGCAACCTCGTCGCCGCCCATCGTCTGGGCCGCGTCTTCGGTTTGGCGGCTAGGTGGCCGCCGTCGCCGCCCTGGGGTGCACAACACAGATTGAGCCACATAGATTGCACCGATGATAATTCACAACATAGCTTGCACCACGTGGATAGCGCCACTTAGACTGCACCAAATGGACTGCACATCATCGATTGAACCACCTAGAATGCACAACATACTTTGTACCACCAAAATTGCAGCACGTGAAGTGCACCACATAG